TAATAATATATAATAATAATATATAATAATAATATATAATAATAATATATAATAATAATATATAATAATAATATATAATAATAATATATAATAATAATATATAATAATAATATATATAATAATAATATATAATAATATATAAATATTTATTATTTTTTTTTTACAAAAGGAAATTTTTAATGGAATGTCATCTTCCCAAAGAAACTCAACAAATTGATCGTGTAATAGAAGCTTTTGCAAAAAGATATATTGAGTTGAATCCGGATTTGTATGCTTCTTCAGGTAACAATAATTATTATAATAATATTATTATTAATATTATTATTCATTTATTTGATTATTATTTATCATTTATTAATTTTATACCTTTTTTTTTAATTTAATAATTAGATACACCATATATCCTTGCATTCTCTTTATTAATGCTTCATACTGATGCATTCAATAAAAGCGTTAAACGTAAAATGACCAAAGATGAATTTGTAAGAAATACACGAATTGAAGGTGTACAACAAGAAATATTGGAGGTAATTTGTTTAATAATATATTATTATTATTATTAATTTATATTATTATTATTATTATTATTATTATTATTATTATTATTATTATTATTATTATTATTAATTTATCATATCTTTTATCAATCATTTATTAATTTAATTTATTTATTTACAATTTTAATATTAGATTCTTTATGATAATATAACATTTACTCAATTCATATATGCAGAAGATGATACAGATGTGAATGGACAAACGATGATAGAATCACCAACTGATCATCGACCATTAAAACTTTTCTCATCTTCCAAAGATAAAAGAAAAACTTCAATACGTAGTCGAAATGATCCTTATTGGGTAATTCAATCAAAATTACCCACAGAATTTAAACCTAATATTGAAAACATAGTTCCCATGGAAAATCCTTATTCATATATGGGAACATTAGAATCACTTGATGTGGGAAATTTACATCGAGCTTTTTCCTCTGCTCAAACGATTCGAGTTACTGGTGTACAAAATAGATCTAAAAATAATAATAACAGTAATAATAACAGTAATAATAACAGTAATAATAATAATAATAATAATAATAATAATAATAGTAATAACAGTAACAATAACAGTAATAATAACAGTAATAACAATAATAATAACATCAACAATATTAATAACAATAATAATAATGATAATTCATTTCAACCAATGAAAAATGAAGAAGATGGAACTTTTTTATTAAAAATAACCAAAGGAGGTAAATTAGGTAGAAAAATTGATATGGTTGATGGTAGGAAGAAAGGAAATTTTATACGTAATTGGAAACAATATGGTGTAATATTAAGTGGAAGTCAATTAATGTTCTTTAAAGATGAAGTTTGGTTTAATACTCAAATGAATGAATTAAAAAATCCCGAGGTATGAATTATTAATTTATTATTCTTATTATTCTTAATATTATTATTCTCAGTTGATTAATATTTATAATAAATAATTATGAATATTAATAATTAATATATAATAATATTAATAATTAATATATAATAATATTAATAATTAATATATAATAATATTAATAATAATATATAATGATATTAATTAATAAATATTTAGAAATCCAAAAAATTACCAATACTTCGACCAGACGCAATATTGATGACAGCTGAATCCGTGGCGGTATATGATAAGAAATATGTGAAATATTCTAATGTATTTCGACTTGTGTGTCCTAAAGGTCATCAATACTTATTTCAAGCTGAAAGTGAAAGTGAAATGAATGATTGGATACTGAAAATTAATTATGCCGCAACATTTAGAACAGTTGGATTAAAAATAAGAAATGTTAGAAATAATTATAATAATAAAAAATTATTGATTACTTCAGAAAGTGGCGGAATAAATAATAAATATCAAAAAAATGATGGTATTGAATTACTTGGATTTAATAAAGATGATAGTAAAGATTCTCAAAGTAGAGCTAATTTACTTCGAGTAAGTGATTTTCTTATATTATAATTTTTAATAATTATATAATATTTTATATTTATAATAATTAATATTTTATATTTATATTTTATAATAATTAAATATTTTATATTTATAATATTAATATTTTTATATTTATAATATTAATATTTTATAATTATTATAATAATAATTAATAATAATTAATAATAATTAATAATATCTAATAATTTATTTTTAATAGTCAAAAATTGATGAACTTCAGGAAAGAATATCAACTCTTACTTCACAACTTCAAACTGATATTCGATTTCGAAATAATCTTATATTAATGATTCCATATAAAGCCTCCACTCGCGATCGAATAATACAAATTGCAACTGTGGTAGCTCAAAGACTTAAACATACTTGTTTAGAATTAAGTCGATTGGTTTGTTATCATGAAATATTGGAAAAAGATTTATGCGCTACCGTAATGGAAAATAGTAATTATTGGCAACATAGAAATAGTATGTATAGAGTTGGTGAAAGTTCTCAAGAACCAATAGTAGTTAAGAATATTATAATGGATCCTCCTTCGACCAGAAAACAATTAGGAATTATTGGTAGACAATCATTCGTTAGTGAACCTGATGATAAAAATAATCATCATCTTAATAATAATAATAATAATAATCATCATCATCATCTTCTTAATAATAATCATCATCTTCTTAATAATAATCATCTTCTTAATAATAATAATCATCATAATAATCAAAGTATTTACTTATCAAGTGATATTAAATTAACGGAAAAGAGATTAGCTGAAAGAAATGTAAGAGCAACATCATTAAATCTCTTATCCAAATCATCCGTATCATCATTATCATCATCGATACCTTATTCAAGTGAAGTATCATCTGTAACTGGATCTAGTCGTACCACTTTATCCCGTTCACCTACCAATGATGATAATGATGATGATGATGATGAACTTACTACCTTTTTAATGAATAATTCTGAATTAGAATTAGAAATTATTCGAAATTCTATCAATAATGATGCTTATAATAATCATCCTAATCATAATAATAATCATCATTACCATAACAATAGTTCAAATCATAATATTCCTAATGAGAATAGTCCTAATAATAATAATAATAATAATAATAATAATAGTCCCAATAATAAAAACAATGATAATGATGATGATAATAGTTTTAGAGATGATGTATCAAGTGTTACCGAAGAGCAACAACAAATATTAAGTGGAATTATTATTAGTGATGAAGAATCAATTAAGAGTATTAAAAGTATTAAGAGTATTAAGAATGAAAGATTAATATCAATTGAAAATGAAAAGGAGAAAAATGATAATAATGAGAACGAATTACGTCAACAGCAACTCACGGAAACATATATAACGGAAATATCATATAAAGAATTAAATATACGAAATAATAAGTTAGAAGAAGAAGAAATTAATCAACAACAACAACATCAACAACAACAACAACAAAAACTTGAAATTGAACCTCCAATAGAAACATCATTTGATTTTGAAAAGAATTTAGAAAAAGAAATTAATAATAGTAATAATATTATTAATAATAATATTGATAATAGCTTAGAAAATAATAAATCATTGAATACATTGAATAATAATAATATAAAAGATCAAATAATAATACCCAAAGTAATTATATCCAATGATGGATTAATATCAAATTATAATGGTGGGGATGAAAATGATGATGATGAATATTATCAAGAAATTTATTATCATGATGCTAGTGAATATGGATCTGATGATGATGATGATGATGATAATGATGATGATGATAATAATGATGATGATAATAATGATGATGATGATGATGATGATGATGATGAATTCGTTGATGCTGAAGAATTCGTTGATGCTGAAGAATGGTATCCTGAATAATAAAAAAAAATTTTTGTATATTAGGTTTATATATCATATATATATGGTGTACGTATAAAATGGTTTAAAATGGTTGGTTTTGGGTTGGTTAAATTTGAATTTTAATATTTTTTTTAAAAAAGTGGAGGACGGGGTTTTTTTTTATAATTTTTATCATATCATTTCAATATCCTTTTTTTTTTTATCTCATGTATTGTTCATAAACCTTTTTTTAATTTTTCTTATGTAAATGTTGTAATTTTTTTTATTTTATTTTATTTTTATTTTTTTCATTTTCATTTTCATTTTTATTTTTATCTTTATTTTTATTTTTATTTTATTTTTTTATTTCATTTTACTTTCATTTTATTTTAATTTCATTTTTCATTTCATTTTATTTATTGCATATTATATATTCATGTAATAGAAAAGTTTTGTATCTCAAATCACATCTACAATTCAATTCAACACAATAAACACAATTAATTGATAGTAATTAATTATTCGTCAATGATTAATAATTAAAAATGATCAAAATATATAAAATATATAAAATATATAAAATAATTAATCCCAAATAATTTATTATTGTTAACTAATAATTTGTTTCCGAAATTATAATTACTAAATTCATTATTCATCTTGGACGAAATTGGAAAATTAATTACGTATGACACACATGATTATGTTCACACGTATTTATTTATTATTTTCAAAGTTAATTCGAAATAACTTGGTGTAACGTAGACATATAAAATATATGCGTTTTATGAAAAAATGTCTTCAAACAGACCTTCGCGAAATCACGGTTTTCGTTACGCAGCGGATCACGATCGTTTGAAGCGAGCCTTATTACAACCGGTTCAGCCTTGGTTAGATTTTTAGAAATTATCCTTTTATATTATTAAATATTTTTATTAAGGTTTATTTTTATTTTATAATATTTTTAAAAAACTTTTTTTATAGGGATAAAAAATGGCAATATCCTACTAGTGGAGTAAAAAGTTTTAAAATATATAAATGGGCTAAATGTAAGCATTTTAATATATATATATATATATATATATATAAAGAATTGAAAAATATTATTTGAAATATGGTAAAATAATTAAAATTCGCGAAGAATTGAAAAAATATTATTTGAAATATGGTAAAATAATAAAATTCGCGATGACTTTACCAAATCTAGCTGATAGGAAGTTAACTTTTAAAGACGATGAAGAGGACGAAGAGGGATTTGTCAGAATGACTCGTCAACTTACTAATCTCGAGGTATAAAAATAATATAACATTATTTATGGAATAAATAAATAAATAAAATTTAAATAATAATAATAATAAATTAATAATATAAATTTAAATAATAATAATTTTAGGACACACCAACTCCAACCGCATCAATTCTTCAACCTCCCACTGAAGCTTCTACACCTCAACCATCAGAGACAGAAACGGATTCAATATTTTTAAGACCACACATAAATTCATTACACAAATCATCATCATTAATTCGTCAAGCATCACTTACATCAGCAGTTTCAACACCAGGAGATAATATAAATACAAATAACAATAATACACCTCTTGAAGTTGAATCTTCTTTAGCGAATTCTCCTGAAAATGAAGAAAATGAAATTGAAGAAATTGAAGAAGGAATGGAAGTAGAAACCAATGCAGAAGAGAAACGTAATAACTATATGGAATATAATGATGAACGGAAAGATATTGATGATTTATTTGATAGACAATCGAATAATTATAATGAAAATAATGATGAATATATTAATAATAAATCAGGAGAATACGATGATCAAATTAATGAACAAGATGATGAATATGGCGATGATGAAATTAATCTATTGGATGAATATGATGGAAATATTGAAGAGGAAGAAGAGGAGGAAGAAGAAGAGGAAGAAGAATACGAAGAAGGACAAGTAGAAGAATATGGAGAACGACAAACAAGAAGAGAAGGAGAAGGACAAACTGAAGAAGAAGAGGAAGAAGAAGAAGAAGAAGAAGGAGATAATAATGTATCAATTCAAAGATATAATAATAGACAAATGGGAGGATTTGAATATGAAGTAGATCCAAGTAGTGATTATGGTAATCAACCAAATAGTGAATATGGTGAACAATCATCATCTAATGTATATGACAATAACAATAACAATAATAATAATAATAGTAATAATAATAATAGTAATAATAATAATATTATTAATAATAATATTAATAATAGTATTAATAATAGTATTAATAATAACAATAATAATAATAATAATCATCATCATCATGAATATGAAGAAGAAGCATTAAGTGATTATGATGAACCACAAAGTAGTGAATACGAATTTGTTGGACAATCGGAAGAAAATACGAATCAACATATAATGTATCATCATGATCAAGTGACAGCTTATGTTGATCGAAATAATTTAGAAGGATCAAAGGATACGGAAGATGGAGAAATTGAAGAAGGAGAATACGAAGATTTATAGTTATAATAATATATATGAAATATAATTATTATTATTTACATTAGAGATTTTCTTTAATTTTTTTGTAATTTATTATTATTATTATTATTACTATTATTATTATTATAAAATTAAATAAAAATTTTTAAAATTTAGAATATAAAATCATAATTATAAAAATTAACAATAATATAAATCAGAATTTATCAACATTATTAATTCCCATTAATTCATTTTGTGAAATGGTTTCTAAAATACTAATTCCAACTCTTGCATGATATTTAATTAAATCATCATTATCAATTTCTTCAACATATTTTAATGTTCGCCAACTTCTTTCTAATAAATCTTTAGGAATTAGAAATATTGATTGCGAATGTGATGACAATCCACGAATTAATGAAATTAATAGTACGATCGATGCTAAATATAAAAAAAAACCAAATAATAATAATGATAAAATAATAAAATATTATAATTATTATTATTATCAAATACAAAGAATTAAACATAAAAATATTAATTAATTTACCTCTTCGAATTTCTACATCTTTTTGAATATCCAAAATATTTAATATCCAATCCACAATATCTCGAAACCAAGTTGTTAATGCTAATGGAGAAGTTTCGCACGCAAATCCAATAATACTTAAAGCTGATATACGTAATATCTTATTTTGATCTTTATTTAGTACTTGTAAAAGTGGAGGTAAAAGCGTAGTAACTGATAATTTAATTATTATTATTATATTCGTTATAATTTATTTATTTATTTATTTATTATTATTATTCTCATTATTATTATTCTCATTAATTATTATTATCAATTATTAATTATTTTTATAAACTTACTATATTTTCCTAATACATCACCACATCTTTGTATAGTTTGTAAAATTGCTTCACCAATACGTAATCGATTATCTAAATTTTGAATAGGATCTGAATATATTTTCATTAATTTTTCCATAATTTTCTTTCCATGAATGTCAGTTAATGAAGATAATCCTTTTATTGCATTAAAATATATAAAACTAATAAATAAATAAATTAATTAAATTAATTGATTAATTAATATATAATGGATTAAAAATATTACATCACTTATATTATCACTTATATTATCATTTATCACTTATATTATCACTTAATCACTTTGTATCACTTATATCACTTATATTAATTCACTTACCTCTCTTCATCTTGAACTAATTGAATAAATATATCTAAAACTTTATTCAAATTTGATTCTTCATTCATTAAAATATCTTTTGAAAGTATCATTTCTTTTAATGTAACAATTCCATATGCTTTTATGGGTAAAATATTATCTTTTAATGCATTCATTGCTTCTTGAAATTTCTTTTGACTTTCTTGTCGACGTAAATATTCTTGAGATGAAATTGAATTTTGTGATTGTCCGTTATTATTATTATTATTATTATTAGAAGTAGTGATTGTAAGAATAATTAATATTAAATTTTGAGATAATGATCGAATTGATAATTTAGGATGATGGGTTTGAAGTTGCGATAAATTATTTGAAACAAGAATCAAAATTTTAATATCTCTTGTTGGTAATGTTTTATGTTCTATTAAATAATATGAAATAATAACAATTATTAATTATATATAATATTATTATTAAAATGTAATATTATTAATTATTAATTATAATAATATTTAAATATAATAATTTATAGTAATATAAAATATAATAATTGTTATTATTAATTCTAATAATGACACCTGATAACAATGATTCCAAAAGAGACAAAGCCAAAAATAACAATTCTTCATCCTCATCTTCATTTTCTTCACATTCATCTTCTTCATTCTTAACAATATTACCTAATTCATTTCTCCATCCTTTTTTAAAAGTTTGAATATTTATATTTTGTTTTGCTTTTTTATTTTCTTTTTTGTGAATATATTCTTCTAGAACGTTATTTACAAATGCAATCATTTGTCCAGGTTTTTGTAAAATTTTTGATCCCAATTGGTCAATCATTGCTAAAATTAGGTTAAGCAAAGTAAAAAGACTATAAAACAGAAAATATATTATAATACATAATAAACATAATAAAAATCGTAAACATATTAATATAATATAAAAAAAATTAATTACCTTTTAGAAATTGAATCTTGTTGTGATTGTTGTTGTTTTGATTGAAGAGATTTCAATGAAGTATATTCTGTAAGAACATACATAAAGAAATCTCCTGTTAACTCATTATTAGAAATGGATTTTATGAAATTGATAAATGTGTCAATATTATCTATTGTTGTTGTTGTTGTTGTTATAATTGGTAATGATAAATTACTTGATGTCCTTTGTATAAAAAATATAAAAAAGATAAGTTAATGAATTTTCATTATGATAATAATATAATTTAACAATATATAACATAAAATATATTTCATACATTCTAAATCTCATTACAACCCCTCCAAATGATCCAGGTGCAAAATAAATTTCTCCAATGTCACTACTTTGAGGAGCTTTAAGTTTTTCATTTTTTTTTCTAAATAATATTTCTTTAAGTGCTTTAACACTTTCATCAATTGTTATTATTTTAAAATAAGCTAATAAGATATCTAATATAATATCTTTTAAAAATGATTTTGAAGAACAAGTAAATGAATATAAATAATATAAAGGAGTGATAGAATATTTTAAAAAAAATTGTAATAAATTAGGTATTGGTTCACTTCCTATTAATAAATAATGTATTGTGGAAATTGTAGATTGTAATGCTTGTTCATCCATTATTAATGGATCAAGGGAATTATTATCATTATTCTCATTATTATTATTATTATAATTTTGAAATATTTTACTTTTTTCTTCTAATGATATTCCCCACCATTTCCATAATTTATTAAATATTTTATTAATTATGAATTTCTTAGTAATATTAGGAAATTTAATAGACATCCTTGCTATTATAAAAGATGCCACATTAGCACTGGGTGATGATTTAAAGTTTTGAAGTGAAGAAGATGATGAAGTAAATGATTGAACTATAGATAATAATTGTGGACATATTATAGAAAAATATGCCTTTAAATTATAATAATATATAATAAGATAATAAGATAATGAATTATTATTATAAATAATATTATGAATTATAAATACAGTGTTTAAATCATAAATACCTCAGGAGATTTTGCAGTATTTGGAACAGAAAGAATTAATTTAGATATAGTTTCCAATTTAGATAAATTTACTGATTAATAATTAATAAAAATTTAATTTATTAATAAATAAATAATAACAATTAATAAAAATAGTATTGGTAGTAATAATTAATTAATTAATTAATGATAAAATACATACCTTCACTTTCATCTCCAATCATGAATTCCATAATATCCTTCACTCCATTTGGCCTCAACAAAATTTGAGTTAAATATTGACCACAAATATTTTTTAACCAATTGGGAGATGTACAAATTGGGGATGATGATAAAAGCATGGTTAAAGCATTCAAAGATTGAAATGAATTCGATCTAAATAATAATAATAATAATAAATAAATAAATAAATAAAATGTAATATTGTATAAAAATAAGTGATATAATGTAATATGTATATGATATATAATAAATACTCTTCAAAAATCTTGTGAAACATTATATTACTCTCTTTCCGTATTTTTATGAGCTCTTTCAAATCATTTGCTTTTGTTTTTTCCTTATCCCTTTCTTCTTGAATTGATAATGATGATGATGATGATGATGATGATGATGATGATGGAGAAGGACCATAAGCTAATTGTAATAAAGCAGCATAAATATCTGTAAAATGCTTTTCTAATATAATTAGTGATATTGTTGTTGTAAGGAATATTGGTTTATTTAATGTAGGAAATATTATGTTTGTTAATGATTTCATTAAACTAAATAGATAAATATCTTTAATGTCTTTAATATTTTTAAAATTATTGATTGTTGATTTTTCTTCTTTTTCTGCTTCTTCTCTTTCATCCCTTAATTCCTTCAAAAAATCTTAAAAAATAAAAAATTTTTTATTATAAATAAATAATAATAATAATAAATTAATAAATAAAATAAAAAATAATAAATAATAATAATAAATAAATAATAAATAATAAATAATAATACCACTCTGAATATAACCAGATCGTGTTCTATGTGATATAGGAATTCCCACTCCAGGTAATAAACAAGGATAAATACCCCAACTTATTACAATTTCTAACATTGTATGAATAATTCTTAAATCTCTTATTCCCAAACAATCAGGTTCTTCATTTGTATTTCCCTCTACTGATGTTTGAACTAATAAATAATAATAACGATATTTTAGCTAATTTAATAAAAACATTATTATTTTATATATATATATTTGTTATATCTATTTTAATGTAATACCTTTGATTTCATTAATATTTCTTAAAATTACTTCCAATGCTTCTAATATTTCTAAACATTTTGCAACAAATCTTTCTCTTATAGTATAATAATCTCTTAATTTATTATCAGTAAAAGTTATTATTTCAGATAGATTTTCTTTTATATTTTGTAAATTTTTTTCCTCTTTTTCTAACTGTTCTAATCTTAAGTTTAATTTTTTTTTTAGTGAGCTACCTATTTTACATGTAAAAGTAACATAATTAATTATCAATTGATGATGATAATAATAATAATAATATTAATGTTAATATTAAAACAATATATTATTATTATTATTTTTTACAAAAAAAGTCAATTTTACCAGGTGGTTGGGTTTCGTTAGTTGTTCCAACTAATATGTATGCTTGATGTAATACATCAAGAAGTTTATTGTCAAGATTTTTTAGAGAGTCCATGATAATGATAACAATAATAATAATATTCTTTTTTATATATGTACTTGATTTATTTAATTAAGCATATAATAAATATTTTAAGGATATAAAAATATATGTATGCTATTTGTTTGGTCACACAATTTTGCGAAAATTAATGTTGTCACGTTGATGACAGTTTTTATAATATTTATTACAAAATGTAGGATTTCCACTTTTAGTAAAAGTTGGTGCATATTTATAACATGATTACATGAAAAGTATGAAATGCCAACGAGATAACACTGTAACAGTAAAAGGTTCCAAATTGAATTTGATAAATGGACAAGTGGAGATGTAGAAATTAAATTAGCTTATTCAACAACAAACTCAACTTAATGCAAATAATTATGAAAAAGTCATTGAATGGATTCTATCTGCTATATTTGAAGGGAGGGCTTTACAAGACAACGTGGTCTGATAGACGTATTAATCTCGGGTGCATAAATTGAAAAATTGCCATAGAAGGGCAATAAAATGTTTGCTTAACAAATAAAATTGCATTCTTACAAGAGGCTAATTAAGTAAACTTGGAAAGAAAAAAAATTTATAAATTTATTTTATATAATTGCTGGACTTGCTAAAACGTGAGTAGTGAATGCTACGAAAAAGTCCTTGAAAAGGATATTTTAAAACATTTGCCACTATTCTCTTTTTTGGTAAGAAAATCGTACCAAAAACGATCAAAAATATACCTGGGTTTTTATTTCTTCTATCTATTATTCGTGTACGATTACTATATCTATTCGCTACTCGCTACTCGATTACGATTATGATTACGATTACGATTACGATTATACGAATAACATCCCACCCTCCTCAGGTTAGCAGTTCTTTAAATACAAAAAAAAATATGTAATACAAACATTATTTACTTGTGAAGTACTTGAAATACTATGCCGTATGTAAAAAATAAAGGGAGATGGGGTCAGTTTATATGTATCAAGGTTATATATGTATATTGTATTACGCAAAATACGTGACCTGCTGAAGATTACGCAAAAAAATTCTATTTTTTGAATTCGCCCACGATTTACGCGATTTTCTACTAGATATTTTTATGACAGATCGAAAGCCCTAGCTTTATAATATGTATTTCATTTCTGTAGCATTAAAATTTGCAGATATTCGTGTTTAAATTCGAACGTCCGTGAGAAATTTCGCTCAAGAATATCAATGCTACCGAGATGAAACACATATAATTTTGTAGCCAAGAACAAGGCCTTTCTTTCTATACTAAAAATATTTTAATCAAAAATCGTGAGCAAAATCGAAAAAGGGTAAAAAAAAAATGAAAATTTCTGGAGATTTTCACATTTTTTACGTTTTTTCGACGATTTTCGATTAACATATTTCTAATGTAGAAAGAAAGGCCTTGTTCTTGGCTACAAAATTATATGTGTTTCATCTCGGTAGCATTGATATATGCGGAATTATTCGCGTTTAAAATCGAACGTCCGTGAAAAATTTCTGCCATAAGCTTTCTGTAATTCTGGCCAGAATTATGACAGAAATTTTCACGGACGTCGGCTTAAACGCGAATAACAATACTACCGGAATGATACACATATCATTTTGTAGCCAAGAATTAGGCCCTTCTTTCTATCTTAGGAATATCTTAGTCTTTACGCTTCGCAAATCGCGTGCGAAATCAAAAGATGTAAAAAAATACTCAAATATCAAAGATTAGAGCTTATTTCCGAATTCAGACCCCATTTATTTATTTAATCCTATATTGTATAACATTATAATTTATGTAAATATATCTATATTACATTACACCAGTCATATTGTGGCTACTAGAAAAAAAAAATACTCGCTAGTTTTAAACCTAATAACTACGTTCATTTCAAAATGGCCTATACTGATATATTTAAATTTTGCATAGGTGAACAGTAAATTAATCTTTAATTTGTCATTTATTTGATATTGTTATACAACATTTTTATATAAAAATAAGAAAGAAAATATTTCGAGAAACTTGAAAAATTGTATAAATATTTAAATATTATACAGAGTAAAAAATTATGTAATATTGAACTCATAAAAAATAAGTACTTTTTATTTTTAAACATAAAGTATTTATTAGACTAGTTTCTACATTTCCTTCGTTAAAAAAAAAAAAAAAAAAAAAAAAAAAAAAAATAGAATAACTTCATTTTAACCTATTTATTTTAGGTTCATGCAAAGTTGTTCTTATTAACAAGTAGGGTTCTGCAAATAATGTATGTTTTGATAACCTCAATGAATTCAAAGTCGCCGTAAAGATTTATTTAGTCTTAGTCTACAAAGGACCCTCTTTCCTTCAAATCAAAATTATATTTGAAGTTCTGGTTCAACCGATCTTTTTTTTTAAATCGTTAATCTTTTTGAAAACATTTAATCATTTGTACAAATAGTTGAGATCCTAGTGAATAACGGTTCATCTGTCCTTTTTTTTTTGAATTGTGTCTAATAATTTATATTTTATGCATATGGCGTTTGTATATAATATTTCATTCATACCATTTTGTATATAACATTTTTCACAAGCATTTGTATATAACGCGCGGAGGGATAATTTAAGTTTTATTATGGTAGTGATGTGAAGGGTAAATTATCGAGCCATAAGGAATTCAAGACCTTAAGAGTTTCTAACGAAGGGGGTAAAAACTGTGAGTTTGCATCTTAAAATACAAAGTGATAAACATGTCACCGATCTTTTTCTTGTCTTTCTAATCTTCGAAATGTAATAGGTTTCTACAAGGTTTTGGAGATTCCGATTGATTTTTTGAAATAAAATAGGAATTTTTTTTTCTTTTCTATTCAGTTTAGCACAACAAGAAATATTTTTTTTTATGTATGTAATATTATGTCACAAATTTATAATTATTAAAATTATTCAATTATTCTCAATATTATAAAAATACACAGGTTAAAAACCGTGAATATAATTTGATAATTTTACAAGAAAGCATTATACAAAAAAAAAAAATCAATTGCTAAATTAATTGATTGAATTAAATAAACTATTTAAACATGCTTATCTTTTACCCATGAAATATTTATCTATCTCTAAATAAATAATTTAAATTCCTCCCATCAATAATAAATAAAAACTAGTTTACAAAAGAAACTCTATATATAACCTAAAAATGTATATAAATTAAATCTCAAGAAAATATTGTAACAAAAGAAATCTATTAATTGAATGGAAATTGAATAGATTGAATGAAGATTGAATAGATTGAATGAAGATTAAATGAAGATTGAATAGATTGAATGAAGATTAAATGAAGATTGAAGATTGAAGATTGAAGATTGAATGAAGATCAAATTGAAAATTAAATAATTAAATAAAGAGTGATTGAAAAAGATTGTTCTATCTTATAATAATAGATCTCAGGTGTCATATAAAGTAATAGGTGGGATTGCAAACATTATTCCTATAGTTAAGATTGAAGCTAAAGTATCCCATATTAAAAACTTGAACGCTCTTTTCCTATGGGCCGATAGAATAGATTTTTCTCGAATTTTTTGAAATTGAAGTATATCACATTCACTAAAAAGGATAGAAAAATGATATAAATATAAAGATAAATTAATATAATAAAAAAAAATAGATATATAGATAGATAGATATATATATATATATATATATATATAGATAGATAGATAGATATATATATATATATATATATAGATAGATATATATATATATATATATATATATATAAAGAATAAAGAATAAATCAATATAATATAATAAAAATATTTTATTTTAAGGACACAAACCTAACTCCAAAGAGACTAAGTAACGGCATGAACCTTGTAGCAGCAGTTTGTAAAAATATCCAACCTAACCATAAAACAGGAAATCCATACAATCTCAATAATCGATTCTCCAATCCCATAAATATATAATATAATTCCAATGCCAAACCAAATGTAAGACACACAATTCCCAAAGGTAAAGCGAAGATTGCATGAATACGAGTTAAATTCATTTCAATCGCTGATTGAACAAATTTTGGAAAATAAATTACATTCATAATATGATATACATAAGATTTAGCTGATGAAAATACTACTGGATTATATCTTCCTTGATGTTCAATAAGGTCAGACATGGTATTTCGACTTTCTTCGGGTAAAATAGTCATATGTCCATATTTTTGATATATATTTAAGGCAGATTTAGCCAAATCATCTTCATTCACTCTCTTAATAATTTCTGTTTGAATATAATTTCCTGATCGATCATCTTCTATGATTGAAATCTCATGACCATCTGATTTATTTGATTTATTTCGTTGTTGTATTATTGATATTACAGGATTCCTTGAATCAACCGATGCTGTTATACCATCTTCGGCACTTGATGTCGAATTATTATAATTGTGAGTAGGTTCCCAATCTTCCATCACAATTTCTTCTTGTTCGTATTCTTCATCTCGTTCATATATCATCTGATTTTTTCCCTCATAACTACGTCTTTCTCGTGATTTCTTTACATGATTTTGATATACTCTCCATGAATCAAATAAATTTTCATGTGTTACAACATCTAACCAAAAATTTAAATTCTCTTCACCTTGCCATTCTTCTTTCAGATAATAATAAAAATTATATTGTGATAAAGGAGAACCTGATTTGTTCATTAATACTTTTTCAAGTGGAGGAAAATCGATTCCATCAGAAACTATACCATCTGATTCATAAGACTTTGAACTCACATCTGTATTTAAAGTATCCTGTCGATATAAAGTAGTAACATCACCTAATTTTCTTTCTTGACTAATCGATTTTTTAGTTCCATTTTCATTATTATCATAGGATTTTTGTTGTGAATACATTAAACTATCATTTTGAACATAACCAAGTTCTGTTTCTATGGAACTACCACTAAAAGCCATCTAAGGTAAACAAAAGATACTGAGGATATTTTGAAAAAAAAAATGTGAAAAATGTTAAAGGAAGGATATAAAGTTGATAAGGATAGGACGGTTTATACTAGTATTGTACTCGGTACAATTTTAGATAAAATTTCATTTTTTTTTTTTGTTTAACGGACAATAATAATGGATATTAATGATGGATATTAATGATGGATATTAATGAATATTAATGAATATTAATGAAAGATATAAAAATGAGTGAAATAGTTCAATAAATATATAAATTAATAATTATCCTTTATAATTAATTATATGAAGCAAAAAAAAAAAAAAAAAAAAGTTAAAGTTAAAAAAAAAACTATATATAATACTATATATTATATATAAAAATTTAAATCTTTAATATATTTTGTACGATATCACTTTTATATTTGTACTTGTAAACAAATTAAATAATTGGGAAGTTGTTCCACATGCTCGTTTATCCGTTCTAGAATCGTTACAAAAAAACAATAATGTGAAACATTGTACGAACAAAAAATGGAGAATAAATTTGTTTTTTTTTCTTTTATGGATATATATATATATATATAACTTATATATTATAACTGATGATGATAAAAATAATGCCGTCAATAATATCTTATCAAAAAAAAAAATATGAAAACTTAATCATGTCGTAATGACATAATTTTTATCGTAGTGGAGTTAAGAAAAATTTTTTGATATTTAATTTATTAGCATTATTAATATTTAAATTTTTTTGAGAGAGAGAGGGGGGAAATGGTATAAATATATATATAAAGGATAAATTAACACCGATGATATTTGATATATTATATTATTATACCATTTTTAATTTTTATTGGGCTAATATTTTTATTTTTATTTTTATTTTCGTTTCTGATTATAAATCATATGGAGAAACAACGAAATATATTTCAATTTTATGATAGTCCTCCTTTACATTTACATTCTTCCCAAACATCTCAACAACATAATATTCCTACCCCAAATTTATCACCTAGAGTTCATTCTACTGATCAAATTCATGTTTCTCGACCAGAAATACAACCAATTTCATTCTTTCCCTCACAAAATTTATCTTTACCAACAACTTCCGAAAATCAATTACATTTACACCAACAATATGATCATAATAACGTAAAGGCCAATGTAACAGTCAACAATACACATCGTAATCAAAATTTTCAACTAATTCAATCTATTGTTAATCAACCACCTCCTTCTTTTAATCCTATTAATCCTATTAATCCTATTAATCAACCCACCAATACAATTAATACAATTCGACATTTGTCACTTTCAGCAAATTCTAATATTAATTACAATCAAAATAATCCATCCGTAAATACTACTACGCAAGCAGTGACCGAAGAAGAGCGTCATAGGCGACGTCTTGATCGTAATAGAATTGCTGCTAGGCAATGTCGTGAACGTAAGAAAGCATATGTCACTAATCTGGAATCACGTGTCACTAGTCTTGAAGCAGAAAATACTAAATTACGTCAAGAGCTAACAACTTTACATTCAAGACTACAATATTGTCCTGTGGATGTACAGGAAAGTATGAGATTATATATGTTGGTGGAAGATTTGAAAGAAAAGTTAAATGGTGGTCACATAAAATCTGATTAAAATCTTGAATAAAAAATGTTATAGAAATCAAAAATATTAAAATTAATAAAAATATTAAATATTCATTATCATGTAAAAAATTATAATAACGATGTTTATTATGTTTTGAAGTTTTTTTCGATAAAATTTATATTTAATACAGTAATACAATTAGTTCAATTTAAATATTTATTATTATAATTCTTTAAAATTCAACATTTAAATGAGATAAATTAAAGATTAAAGATATTTTAAAAAAAAATAAAATTAAATAAAAATGTTTCCTTTTTTTGCAGGAATTTACTAAATTGGTAATATAAAATATAGCAAATATCCAAATACTATTTTAACAAACTGTTAAATCTTAGCAGTTGACAATGAAAGTTATTTATAAAATGATTTATATGTCAATAAATCCAATTAAAAAATTATAATTTATCATGTGATAAAGAATTTCTTATTAATTTACAGCATAATGATAATGATAACATATAATAATAGCAATTAAAAATGGACAAAGAAATTTGCAAAAAGAGAGTACTGAAATATATTAGAGAACAAAAATATACTCGTCCAATATCACTCGTGGAGTTTCAAAATCAACTTGGAGAAAATTATTGTACTTTACAGGAACTCGTTACCGAAGAAGTAATGTGAGTTAATAAATTATATAAAATGACGCGTCATTTTAAGCTTATTAGAAAATGCTTAAAATGCTTCTAGAATTGAAAGAAAGTTTGATCTTTGTGATTCAGTATCAGATACTGTGACTTTATATTTATTCAAAGCTTTGAAGGTGAGGTGACAAATATATATTATTTGAATTATTTGACTAGTCGCGTCTTTAAAAATCCTAAAATTTTTTTTGTATTAGCGAAAATCGTCACAAGATGTAAATCCACGAAATGAACCCAAAATAGATTCACAAAAAGTTGGGTACTCGATTGTGACATTATTAAAAATATTTAATTAAATTAATAATGTCGCGTCTTTATCCGTTTATCTCAGGAAACTTACAGAAATCTGATTCAATCGCTTCAGAATCAGTTACGTTTATTGAATGAGGAAGAAACAGCTTTAAAAAATCAATTGAAGTGAGATAAATTTATACTGAAATATAATAAAAATATAATAAATTATAACATAGATTTATTTGTAGAGAAAATATTGAAATTCATAATGCTTTGGATGAACATTATCGTCGTTTACACGAGTATAACGGAATCAAAGACGTTGGTCAAATGTTATTTGGGAAGGTAAAGATAATTCAGCATTTTTGTAAGATTTTTTTAAATTTCAAATTATATTCTTAATAATTGTCTCCCAAATAGTGTGCTGAAATTGAAGGCACAACAATAAAAGAAATGTATGAACGATTTGGAGTGGGACTCAAAGATTGAATTGAATAATTTTATGTTGAATAATAATAAAAATAAGAAAAATAAAAATAATAATAATAATAATAATAATAATAATAATAAACAAGAATAAATACATAATTTTTTAATCGAATTCTAAAATAGCAATCAAACCACTACGACATCCTGTTATTATACGACGATAATTAGAATCAACATTCAGAGTTTTGATGTCTTCTTTTCCAAGATCATACTCGAACATAAATTTACAATGAGCATATTCTATTTCCTTTGGATTGTAAATATCATTGACAGATGCCATGTTTAAAGTGTTTACACCCTCTACACTCACCATTATACCATTTCGAGTATCAAAATCATACGCACGAGATGAACAATTGAAACCTATTATATTTATCATATTTGGTAATTCTAATGTATTTTTATCAATTTCGTCGAATGTTGTTATAGATGTTTCTATAGTTGAGAGATGTTTCTGAATATATGACCAGCCTAATAATCCCGTTCCGAATGGAGTGGAAAAAGTGCATTCACCATTTGACAATTCAAAAGCTTTGATTGTTGCTCCACATAATGATAAAACTTTTGTGTCAAATATCCGAATTACAGTTGCCTAACATTAAGAAGAAGAAGAAGAATAAATATAAAAGAACTAAATTTTTTAATGATTAAAAATAAATATTTAAAAAGTAAATAAATAAAATTTTACATTTGCTGGTATGGTAGCTACTTTTTCTCCTGATTTCCAATTCCAAATAATTACACTACCATCAAAGGCACAAGATGCAATATGTGATTCAGATAAACTAACACATCTTACTGCACTCACATGACCTCTCAATTCATTTAATAATTCACCTGTTTCCATGTTCCAAATAAACGAAGAACTATAATAATAATAATAATTATATATAATAATTATAAATATTATTAATAAATATTCAATAGATAAAATTTATTAGAAAAAAAATTAACAAATACCGAAAAAATGTCGATCCTGCAACCACTTTTTCTGTCAGTAAAAAGTCCACACAGCTAAATACATTTCCATTTAATGTAAGTTTACATTGTCCCGTTTCAAGATCCCATACTTTCACTGTTCTATCTGATGATCCTGTTACTAAAATGTTGTCCTTTAGTTTTGCATCAGTTATGTGACTTCGATGACTCTTAAGATATTTTATTTTCTGAACTTTTCCTTTGTTCCAATTTATTTCTCTTTGATATAATTTATGATACATGTGTTCCCATCCTTCTTTTGGGGTTTTTATTATTTTTGTTGCATCTTGTCCTTGATAAAGTGTTAATATCTCTGAACATTTGGTTTTCCAAATTGTAGAATCTTGTGTGATGTTTTTCCATTTACGATTAACCTGAAGTTATCGAGTATAAATTTCTTGAGGCAATTCCAATAATTCCAATTAACAAAATGTTCGAAAATTCATTTTACAAACCTCACGACAGTGGCATAAATCTTTACCATCGAGTTGTTGGAAAATTTTTATTGAAAGTTCAAGTGGTAAAGCACTAATTATATCAAATTTACCGTAACATTTGCATTGCAGAATTTGTCGCAAAGTATAGATTTCATGTGGATTACATTCTTCAACCAAAGCAGTTAAACTATAGTATATTTATAAAAATTAATAAAGTGAATAAACATGAGTAAACATAAAGATAAGGTTTTTTTTTACTTACAACAATTTACGCTGTTCTTTGTCAAGTTTTTTAAAGTTGGAGAGTACTTTCTCAAATTGGGTTGTAACCATCATTTATCCAAAATTCAAAAAAAAAAATATTTGAAAGCTTGAAAACTTGTTTCTGAATTTTATCCTGTAATTAGGTTATAGTGGCTCAGCAGTCGTACAATATAATAAATTTCGTTGCTTTTTTTTTTTTTTGAGGCGAATAAGAAGGCTCTTTATCGAAAGAATCAACTACGATGTCAACCAAAAATAAAATTCAACAGAGCCACGAAGTTACAATGGATTCCAGTAATTCCAATCTGTCAAAAAAAAACGAGAAAAAAAAAAAACCAGCTAAAAAGAACGAAGGTAAAAGTTTTCTTTCATAATGCTTTTTCAGTAATATACAAATTTTTAAACGGGATTTTTTTTTTTTTTTTTCGAAAAATAGCTCACATTGAAGGAGCTTCTCAAATTGGAATTGAAGTTCGGAAGGAAGCTGATTTTTCTACTTGGTATACTCAGGTAAAAGTTGAATTAGTTTAAATTCCCAGGGGAAATATAAAAATTTAAGTCTATTTAAAATATATTTTAGGTTTTGAAACGTTCGGAAATGTTAGAATATTATGAGGAAGTATCGGGATGTTATATAATTAGACCATTAGCATATAATATCTGGCAAGAAATTCAAAGTGAGTTCTAAATATCAACTGTCCCGATAATATCACAATAATTTTGATAATATTAATATTTATTACATTTTATCAGATTTTCTTGATGCTTCTATCAAAGAAATGGGCGTAGAAAATACTTATTTTCCGATGTTTGTTTCACAGAGACAATTGGAAAGAGAAAAAGATCATGTTGAGGGTTTTGCACCAGAAGTGGCGTGGGTTACTAAGGCGTGTGTATTCCTTTATATAGACATGGAAGAGATTTAATGCATTATCTAAATAAGTTATGTTAATGACATTTTAGAGGTTCTTCCGAGATGGAAAATCCCATTGCAATCCGTCCTACTTCAGAAACTGTAATGTATCCTTATTTCGCAAAGTGGATTCGAACTCATCGAGATTTACCTCTTAAAGTTAATCAATGGTGTAATGTTGTTAGATGGGAATTCAAAAAACCACGTACGTTCTCTAATAATACATCGACGCTAATGCAATATAATGAATATTCCTTGAAAACCGTCGATAAATAATGTAAATAATGTAAATAATGATAGAACCTTTCATCAGAACACGCGAATTTCTTTGGCAAGAAGGTCACACTGCTCACTTTACACAAGAGGAAGCCGATCTTGAAGTCCGCGATATACTTGAACTTTATCGCAAAGTATATGAAGATTTATTGGCAGTTCCTGTAATCAAAGGAGTAAAGTCTGAAAAAGAGAAATTTGCTGGAGGTCTTTATACTACAACCATTGAAGGATTTATCCCAACGACCGGGCGAGGAATTCAGGCAGCTACTTCTCATTGCTTAGGACAAAATTTTTCTAAAATGTTTGATATTTTAATTGAAGACCCCAATGCTCCCGCAGGTTCTGACGGGAAAAACGCGAAGAAACTTTATGTATGGCAAAATTCATGGGGTTTGACTACAAGGAGCATTGGTGTAATGGTTATGATTCATGGTGACGATAAAGGTTTGGTACTACCTCCACAAGTTGCCCAAATTCAAGTCATTGTTATTCCTTGTGGTCTGACAGGAAAGACACCTGAAGAGGAAAAGAAAAATGTTGAAAAAAAAGTAAATGAAGTAGTGGAAGAACTGAAGTCGGCCGGCATAAGAGCAAAATCAGATCTTCGAGATACTCATACTCCAGGATATAAATTTAATCACTGGGAATTGAGGGTAAATGATATTTATTATATATTTATAAATATATTCATAATGTATAATATTATGTTTATGTTTTAGGGAGTTCCTCTTAGATTAGAAATTGGTCCCCGTGATTTAACAAATAAACAAGTCCTTTCTTCTCGCCGTGATACCAGTGCCAAAGAGCCAATTCCTTTGGTCGAGCTTAAGACTCGCGTTTCCGCCATTTTAAAAACTATACAGAAAGATATGTTTGAAAAGGCCAAAAAAATTTACGATGCCCATAGAAAAATTGTGTTAAAATGGGAAGACTTTGTACCATCTTTAGATGATAAAAATCTTGTACTAGTTCCATGGTGTGAACAAGAAAAATGTGAAGATGCAATTAAAGAACGAAGTTCGAGAAGGTTTGTTTATATGTTTTTCATTTTGTTATATGTTATTTAAATAAAATAATTAATAACTTCATTCACTTATTAGCAATGCTGAACAAGAGCCAGAAGATGATAAAGCACCTTCGATGGGAGCAAAATCCTTATGTATTCCTTTTGAACAACCCAAAAATCCACCTATATTAGAGGGTGAAACTACATGCATAGCGTGCGATGCTTACGCAAAAAGATATGCTTTATTTGGGAGAAGTTATTGATTTAAAAAATCTCTCTCTCTCATGAACTAAATGAAAAAATTTATATTATTATATTTATATATTATTTATACAATAAATTGAAAATATAAATTTTAATTAAATTAATAATAAAATCCAATTTTGTATATTTGTATATTCAAATGAAATTTTTATTATACTATTCCTAAATAAATACACTGCCTATAATTTTTATTAAAATTTGCGAAAAACGTTAGTATATGAAAACAAAACGAAGCCAGTTAGTCTAGAAAGGAGGTTAATTAAAATCATGAATATGCCGAGTTTCGTAATAACTAAACAATTAAGTCCATTACATTCTTTTATATAACAAAGAAAGAAATATTTAAGTAACGTTAGAAATTGGGACGGTTAGTAATTAAAATGATAAAGTAAGTCAAAATGATAATTATTTTGATGGTGGTGGTAGTGGTGGTTGACTTGGTGGAGGAGGTGGTGGGGCAGGTCCAGAAGGCGGTGGTGGGGGAGGTTGCTGTAAAATAAAAATAATATTAGCTAAGTGAGTAAGATATTAAAGAGAAAATATTTTCTAAAAAAATTACCCAACGAGCCGAAGATGGCGGCGGAGGATATCCAGCGGCAGCAGCAGCAGAAGAATAATTGGGAGAATAACCAGTAACATAGTTAGTGTTGACATAATTAGAATAAGTATAACTGGATGCAGCGGGTGGGTACATAGATGTACTTGGTGCAGGAGGATATAAAGATGAGCCGGGGGGAGGTGGCGGGGGTGGATATGTTGATTTTGTTGAATTCCATAATCCTGGTGGAGGTGGAGCAGTCAACCCTAAAATTAAATTACATAATAAATAAATTACATAAACAAAAAATTTAATTAAATTAGTTTTGAGATAATTACATACCAGGAGGTGGGGGAATTCCAGACGCTGATGTAGATTGTTGCCAAGGTGGTAAATTCGTAGATGCTTGCTGAGAACCTGTTGTAGATGCCATTGGCGCTTTTGAAACCCATGGTGGAGTAGCAACAGAAGCTGAGGGAGTTTGTGCAGCCCACGGAGGCTTAGAACTACTAGATGGTCCATAATGTCCCTATAAACATTAGAGGTAGATAAAAAATATTCACTTATTGATATAGTATGGTTAATATACTAAAGGAAAAATCTTTTACTTACTGTTTTGACACTAGGATCGTTGGCCTTTGATGCATCAACATTTTCACCAAGTTCAGCCATTAGACTTAAATATTCACTGTCCAATTTTTGATCTCTCTGCTTGGCTTGTTGCAACGCTTCGGGATTATTTCTCTCCATACAATCTCTTGCAGTATGTCCATGACCATTGCAAATACGACACGTAAGGTTGATAGTAAAATTCTGAGTTTCAGAACACTCATACTTTCTGTGACCAGTAGCTCCACAATTTGTACAAATTTGGTTTTCGTCATCTCTAAGTGTACCGTTAAGAGCTGCTAACTCACGCAGTTGTTGTCTTTTTAACTCATTTTGTCCTTCCGGGACAGAAGCAGACTATATGAAATAAATAAACAAACCAACATTATATAATCTTATATAATCAGTGTTTAAAATAACAATATTTCGAGAGGAAAGTATTAAAGAGTTCTGACCGTTTCAATTATTTTATTAATCATTTTAACGGCTTTAGCGACCTTATCTTCAGCATCAGCAGTGACCAAACAATGCAAATCTTCTTCTTGATTCGCATTTGCCGCAGCATCCGTCCTGCTTTTACCTTCTTTTACGCTCCCTCTACCGCGAATACTAATCTTTGCACCGGATTCTGCTTCCATTTTTTTGAGTGTATTACCGCGGGGACCGATTAACAATCCTATGAAGTTTATTTCTGGAAATTCTTTAGCAGGGATGTACACTTTGTCTTGTACTTTAGTAGGCCTTTTGTAATCTGCAGGAGGTTTGTATTCAGGATTTCTTTTAACTGCTTCCTCAATCAATCTATGCCGTTCATCCTCAAGCTTTTTTCGATATCGATACTCGCGGGTATTGACACGTTTTCCTTGAGAATCGTAATATGGTTCTGGAGACGAAGATCTATAATTTGTAACAGATACAAATAATGAATATCATGAAAATATAATATTTACTAATATTTATAATAATTCATAAATAAATTTACCTTTCTTTTTCTGGCGGAACATAGTCACCTGTCCTTAATTTTCTTCCTATTTCTTCTAATCTCATATGTACTATAGATGAAATATCAAATTAAAATTAACTTAATTAAAAAATAAAAATTTCAAAACAAATCCAAAGAAAAAAAAAATAATAATAATAAAATTTACATAAATAAGTATCTAATTGTTCCTTTGACATATTAGATGTAATAGCAGTCGGTAATCCCGGAATATTAACTTTTGATTCTTCCCCGCCCCACCTACTTCTTCTTTTGCGTCTACTACGTTCTTCATTATTTCCATCTGAAATATTCCAGTTAGTTGACGAAACGGTTTTGGAGCGACATTAGCGACATTATGTGTTCATATTTTCATGGGAAAAAAAATTTAGGTGAATAGCAAATAACGAAACGCAATTTGGCATTTTGTTAGTAAGTGCAGCTTTTATTGAAAAAGAGAGTCAGTGAATTTTTTTAACTTATTCCTGTTATCAAAACATCTGACAACAAATTATTAATTCAAAAATGTACAAAACATTTAAATTGAGAAATCAAAGAAAATACCATGTCGCGAGACATGCGTGACGTGTAAATGTATTAGACAGAAAGGAGTTTGCATTATCCTTTTATAATCACTAACAAAGGTGGATAAAAGACTGCAATAAGAAAAAAAAGAACGAAAGTGAATTTTAGGTTATACCTGCATGTTGATCTGTTTCTTCTTCTTTAGATCTTTTAAGAGAATAACTATTCTCGATAAATAGATCTTCATTATCTTCTTTTGATTCTTTTAACTCATATGATTCATTTGACTCATATGTCTCTCTTGATTCTTTTGACTCATTTGACTCATATTCTTCCGATGTCCCACCTATCCTACGCTTTCCCAATGGAATATTATTAGTACCAGTGATCGAAGGCTTCCACATTTTCAAATAGTGTAGACCGCAACAATTTTAGTTATGCAGATCGGATGGATGAATATTGACAAAAAAAATCAGGGGGCTAAAAATTGATGATCTCTTAAACTTGGGGGCAAAATTAGAGAATTATGTAATTTTGCCAAGAGGTAACAATCATACCCTTTTTATTTGGCCTTAGGGTAAATTTTCAATATACAGTGGACCCCCTGCTCTACAAGCACACTCACGGGACTTTGGCATTACTAAGTATTGGTCCATATGAAAGGTGATTGTACAGGGGTGACTATTTTATATTTTTACACTTGTGTGATACATTGATTTTTTTTTTAAAAAAAAAAAGGAAAATATGTATAAATGATTATAAATTTATTTATAATCAAATTTTTATATAATAATATGAGTGGTATGTATAGTTAACATTAGATATACAACTTTACTAAATAAATGATTTAAACAATGTATTCAACCCCATAACCAGCTTCTACTACGAACTGGGGTTGGTGAAAGTACAATTTCATCCTCGTTTTCTTCACCGTCAATATTCATTGGACCCGGACCATCTATTTCGGATACTGGAGCCGTGTGAGAACTAGAATCTCTACTAAACAATCCACGGAAAAATCTTGAGATAGTACTACTGTTGCTAACAGATGTGATGTCAAGTTGTGGAGTCATGGTACCTGACCCTGATAATGAAACAGATCTACGTAAGCGCTGGACAGGATGTATTAATTCCTCTTCATCCTCAGTCTGCATATGAGTAAATATATATAAATATCATTAAAATTTAGATAAAACAAAATAAAATTTTCATTATTAGATATTACTTCTAGATTCAATTCATCATGTCTACGTTTAGAGTAAGGTGTATCATGTAAATTATAGTATGCTGTATTGTAACGTGCAACACTAATCCGGCTACCCTTTGAATTGTTGCTTCCAATGCTGCCCCGACGTGGAGTATTACCCGACTGTCTTTCTTGTTCAGCTGCTTCCAACGCTATTATCCTTTTTAGGATATTATCTCTATTAAATAAAGAAAAAAAAAAAAAAATATAACCCATTTTTTAAATCAATAAGAAAGTAAAAGTATCAAAAATATTGTAACATTTGCACTTACTCTCCAAAAATCTTATTATTATCATCTTTCGCGAAGAATTTAGCAATTACCTCTCTATACACTTCCTCATTCCCGACACCATTCTTGCCATCTCTAACGAATCTATTTTTGGTTTCTTCATAAAGATTTTTAAGCTGATACCAATGATCATTTGTCCATAGTGTAGTAGAACTACTAGGTTGTAATTCAGGTAGAGTTGCATTCGTGAATGATGTTGAGCGAGAGATTCTGTTTATAGGTTTGGTAAATACTGACGTGATTTCATCCTTTGGGGATAAGTCTACGCTGGTTCTAGATGTTTCAAGTATATCATAATTTTCGTTCGCCAATACTTGAACAGCTTTTTGAAGAGCCATTGGATTTTCTGCAGACAATGCCACCACATTCGAGTCAAATAGGGGTAATATTGGTTGTTCATAAATAGCTTGTTCATATTCTTCCCCTTCATTTGAACCGATGCTTTTAGCTTTACCTTTACCCCGTGAACCTCTTTTGGCCTTTTTACCTTTTTTATCTTTATTTTTCGGAGTTTCAATAATTTCTGATTGTTCGTCTACCAAAGGTTCAGACTCATTAACAGATAAACTGAGATTATTTTCAGTAACGTCACTCTCTACATCTATGATTTTAGAATTATTTGTACTACTACTTGAGACATTCACACTTCGAGTTTTTCCTTTGCCACGATTTCGACCTTGTCCACGTTTACCTTTTGCACTTGTAATTTTTTTAGGTTTTGATGGTGCAGCTTGAATTTCCTGTTTGTTGGATCCTTTTCCATCTTCATTCATATCAGGGATATCCGCAAATATATTTTCGCTTGTCTCCTGAATTATGGATTCATCCATAGATACTTGCCTTTCATTTTCAAATTCCATCAGGTTATCTTCTAAAGGCTCTTTAGGAATCGTTTGTTGCTTGTTCTTGGTGGTGAGCCTAGATTTTCCTCCTCGGATACTTTGTCCTTTTTGAGTTCTTTGCCCTTTGGTACTTTCAACAAGGCTATCTGCGATTTGCGGTTTAGTCTTATTTTGTTGTTTAGTTTTTCTTTGAGAGGGTTTGGTAACATTGCTTGATGAACGCTTTTTGACAGAAGTGGGAGCAGATTCAGCAAGACTTAGAGCACGTTTTCGACTTTTAGCAATATTGGTACTTAGTGGTGGATTAACGCGTTTAACATCATTTTTAGAAGTAGAAGGTGGTTTGGAATGTACATTTGATTTAGAAGCTGGACGTTGGCCTTTTGGAGCATTTGAGGAAATTTTACGATTTTTACGGGTTTCAGAATCGGATTCATAATCAACTTCATTTGGACGCCACTCGGGATCATTATTTTTCTTACGTGCTGAAGTTAATTTTCGTCCAGCTCTTTTACGTATTGGCGTCGATTTAGAAGTGTTTACCCTCTTTGTAATTCTCTTTGGTAGTGATTTACTTGATTTTGATTTTAAATTCTCTGTACGTGTATCATCTACGAAAGTAGCGTTATCGGGTTCATCATTACGCACAATTCTCCTAGACCTTAGGTCATGTTTGACGTGTGTGTCAGATCTCTCGTTAATGTTATTATTTTCGGTATTTACGCTATGAACATCATTGTTACGATGATTATCCTCGTAATCGCTTGAAATAGGGGTTGATTTATGAATAGGAATATCCAAATCTTCATTATTATCATTACTAGTTTTAGTTTTTTCATCAACATCAGCCTCATTTTCGGTCGTTGAATGTGATATTGATTGGGTTTTAGGTTTTCTTCGTCGATTCTTCGATCGTTTACTACTTGGATAAGAGTAACGAGGATAATTATAACTAGTTTTCGCTCTAATAATAAATAAAAATTTTGTTAGAACATAATGCATTCATTTATACAAAAATTTATTATAATACAAACTTTGTACGCAAACTACGCCTTATTACAGGGTGAATGTTAACGGCAGTAGTAACTTCTTCATCTGATTCAGGCTTAACTTTTGCGAATTCAATTGTAGAAAATAAATTGGCCATATCTGAGTAGTATATATTTTGTCTTTGTAATGAATCTCTGATCTGTAAAATGAGATGAACTATAAGTTATAACTTCTAATACTACGAATAACTTTGTAAGAATAAATTATGTCTCACTTGGTTCGAATAAATAATACGATCCATGGGGATCACATCATTTAATCCTTGTGAATCATCTTCATAATCCGAGAGCTCAGAATCTTGAGTTTGTGTTCGTTCAATCACGTGAATTGGTTCATCTGTTGTTTCAACATTAATAGGATTTTTTGTTGTTTCTAATTGAGAAGATTCATATGATGTTTCTATTTGAGTAGATTTGTTTGTTGCTTCTACAGGAATAAGTTCATATGCATTTTCTGTATTCTCTACATTTTCTGTATTTTCTATATTTTGTACATTTTCTGCCTTCTTTGCATTCTCTGCATTTTCTGTATTTTCTGTATTTTCTACTTGAATGTATTCATCTTCTTCAATTTTAGATACATCATTCTCATCATTCTCATTGACGACATTTTTTTTATCGGCATCGTCAATAGATATATGTAACTTCTCTGCAATTTGTGGAAGTGAAGATTCAGAATTTTGGATAAAATCTTCTAAATCTGGCCAAATATTATTATATTCACTTTGATCAGGCTCGATAGAGGCAGTATCATTATCTTGTATATCTATAGTTGACTGAGTAGCTGGGAGAGGTTTTGGATACATTTTTATTTCTTCTGAAATAAAGTTAACTCCTTCATTATCTGGCGAATCCATTCTTTTGATACTCTGAGTGTAAAAATATTATAAAGTATTATCAAATGTAACACATCAAAATTTGGGGACACATGTGTGTCGATCATCTTAAAATTGATTTTCATATTATTTCGTTTATTATGGTAACCATGTAACATTACTATTCAAAATATTTTATAAAGACCATCGATTATATGCTTATTTCTATAGAGATTACTACAGTCTTTCTTTTTATTGCATAATCAAGCCATTTCCAATATTGTATTTTTTACAATATGTCTTCAAAGGATAAACTAATCAATAATGTGAACATTACGATGCAACAATACAATTAATTGAATTGATGATTCGCCTTTTTTGACGCAAATCCTTTTTCGTTTGACCACATGATTAAATTTTACATATTTACATATATTTCAAATAGTACTGGATACAAATAGGTATTATATTTGTATCAAAAATTTACTAAATTTTAATTATTCAAAATAGAAAATTTTTTTGATAATAAGAAAAAACCAATTAGAACTGTAAAAATATATTATAAATAGATAAGAAATTGATATAGTAAATTGATCAAAAAAAAATTTATATAGGACCTTATACTATTACCCCACGTGAATTCTAGAAAGTTTATTGGCTTATAAGTTAATAGGTGATCAGCAAAATATCACATGTAATATTCATGTGATAAATTTTTGTCAGTTTTTTCCATATGAAAAAATCCAAGTTTCCAGGATATTTAATAAAAATCAATATTTGAATAATTACCTTTGACAAAATCTTAATCTTAAATATATATGTTTTCAAAATTGATTTCTGATTTTTGAAATATTTCATCTTTTTGAAATTTACTCAGAATATATTCTATATATAGAAGTAAAAAAATATCTAGTTAAATGTATTTTTGATTAAGAAATTTATTTGGATAGTCAAAAAATTTTGAATTTTAAATAAAATAATTTTGTCTTTTATAAAAAACTATTTTAATATTTTTTCTGAAATTGCAATTTTGAATTTTTAAAATAATTTTACATGCAAGTATAATCCTAACTCATATAGAGGTAAATAGTTCTGGTGATATTAAATAAGTGGTTTTGCATATATTTGCACATGTATATTATATCAGTTTTTTTAGAATTTTATATATTACATTACTATTAACTAAAATTTACCTTGTAAGAATTTGACAATGGTACTATAATAATTAATACAAAAATTATAGTAATGTATTTATTATAATAAAACTAAAAATTTATATAATAAAATATAAAAATAAAAATTTTACAATTGCAGATTTCATTTGAAAGAAATAAAAAGTGATTTTTAAAAGAGTATTAAAAGTTACTAAAATATAATTTATTAAATAACAAATAATAATTAACTAAGATTTTATTATTTATTAATTACTAAAAAAATAAATTCAAAATTAAACTAAACTAAGACATAAAAAATTCTATTTTTTATATACAAATTTGAAATTATAATAGATAATATTATACTTATCCCTTAAACTGTAAATTTAAGTAGGCAAATTTGACTGTTTAAATAATTGAGAAAAATTATCATCTGCAAAAAATTTTTTTATAAAAGGGATAATTCAAATTAACTAGAGTGATTTTTAGAAGTGTAAGTCACATAATAACTTCACAACTAAATCATGACATTTGCTATGTGGCTCAAAAAAAGTGCACAAATTTGAGTTATATGAAATTTGCTATGTTTCGGGCACAAAACATTCCAAACGATCAAACTTATAAAAAATCTTGATAATTTGATTTTGCATACTTCATATCATAACAAACAAAAATTATTATATAATATAGGAACTTATCTATAATAAAATTTTAAGTTATTTTGATAGTTAGGTTGGTTAAATTAATATTTTTATTTAAAGATTAATTTAAGATGTTTTTAATCAGTTTATCAATAAACTGATAAATAAATAATAAATAAATTTTTTAAAAAAAAATTTTAAAACTATTTATTTATAAATATATTCAATTAAAAATTTTTTTACTTTTCGTTTTCTCTCAAAATTTTATATTATTCTTTAATAATTAATTATTGAAAGAAATTCATAAAAATATGTACACAATTTAATTCAAAAAAAAAAATCTACCATTAAATCAGTTCTTATTTATTGATATGAAAATTACAAAAACAATTCCAATTATTATTATAACAGAGAGATACATTATATAACATATATCAAAGCTGACTTTGATATGATGTTTTACGATCTATATTTAAAATTTTTTGTTGTTAACCAAATGCACTATTGATATGTTCCTCGTTACTCTTTCCATTTCACGAAATGATTCCCAGGTACCAGCTATTGACCTGAAAACTCAAAATTTTTATTATTCTCAACTGTTTTGTTTCTTTTTTTTTTTTTCTCTTTTTCTCAATTAAACTTTCTCGATATCATTCGCAAGGTCAACAAGGTTCCAGACAAATTCGTGACGAAATTCCTTGTGTTCTTGTTCCGATCCTAATATTTAGACAATTAGATAGTTGTTAATTATTGCAATAAACAACAGCCAAAAAAAAAAGACATTCAGTTCCTCCATATTATTTGTTGTGTATTGTAATACGAACGTAATTAGTCTGCAATATCCACACCATTCATATGATAGTTGTAATCATCAATTATTTTAAAGATTTTTAAGATTTTTTTAAATTGGTACCAAAAACTATATATACCTTTAATTAATTAAAAAAAAATAAATAAATATGATAAAAATAATAATAATAAATTTTGAATTAAATTATAAAAAAAAACCTTCGTTACATTTGTGCTCATCTCTCTTAACTTACATCTGTTACGTTCTACTTCCCATTCCTCATCGACAAAATCATAAACTATTAATAACATCGTAACTAGTCCATTGTCTTGTCAAAAAATGATTAATACTCCATTTATCATGACACCTGAACAAACATCACAATCTAATTTGATACTTTATCTATTTTTAACTCTTTAGAGAATTCTGAAACTGTTTTACGGACAGTTCTACAAGCACCAATACCTATTTGTCAAAAATTTTGAAATAGAAGGACATTAGAAAAATAATTATCTATGTAAATATTAAATGAAAATTAATAATATAAAAGTTACGTAATGAGATGGTGAACTAGACACCCAGTTTGATTAAGGCCATTCACTTTTGGCATATCACTTAAAGAGATACATGACATTGACAAGAAAGTGTACATATATTCAGATTTACAATGTGACAAGATTTTGAAATCCTCAGGAGTTAGTTTATCCTTTATTCTAACAGTATGGACACTTCTTCTAGAAAATTATACCATTATTTGTTTATTAAAATATTTGAACTTGAGATATAAAGCTGTTTTGAAACATCTCATATTTTTGAAAGTAATGGTTCCAGTTTTTTAAAGTAATTGTGAATTATAGCTATAGGAGAAGAGACATGTAAATATCTTTTGATTTGTTTGAAACGATTCAATAACATTTGCTTTAAAATATTATAAATTGGAAGCTTTATATTTTCATTCCAGTATTGATTGAAGGAAGGTGATTTGAAAAGTTCTTAATAGATAACCAGAGCAATCTAAATAATAAGTTCTCTATGATTTATGTCTTGCCACTGCCTGCCAACAACACCAGTGTTTTTTGATGATAAATATAAATTCGCATTTACAACTATTGTGTTTAAAATATTGTTTGTAAAAAAAGAAAGAAAAGATTAATTGGTTTTGAAAAATTGGTTTTGTATTGTAATAGTAAATTAACAAATGTGTGATGTGGTAATTTCAGATAAATGAAATAATTAAAATTGGAAGGTAGTAGTGACAGTTATATTGCTGGTCTGCGTCTATCCCTATGAGTACTTGTAATATCCTCTTCCTCATCCTCAAGGTCTGATTTTAGATTTTTCAAAGAACATTGGTAAAATATCAAAAGTGAAATATACTTCTGTATTTTCTAGAGGAGATGAACTTAAGGTTGAACTTAAAGGTAGTACATTCGGTCTAATTAAAGAAGACATAATCTAATAATTTCAGAAGTTATTTTTGAAAGGTAAAATTTTAGATTTTTGTTAGAAAAACCATGGGAAGGGAATCATAAATGATCGGTAATGTAATACACTCTTAGATTTGCATATGAAAAGGAATATATTGCATATGAAAATCTTTTACAATTATATAAAAGCACATCAAAAATAATTTAAGTAGGCAAATTTGTTTACTTAATAGTTTAAGGGATACTAATATATTATTATTAATTAAACTAATATATATGTTGTGCTTTAGACTAATGCTTGCGTCAGATTACAGCTGAGATACGTCAGGTATTAATTGTCAGGTGAGGTGCGTGATCTATTGATCATTTGTTTGAGGTGCATCAGTTATAATATGACATATTGATCATATAAATCAGGTGTAAATTATCAGGTGAGGTGCGTAACCTGTCGATTGTTTATTGTCATTAATTTTTATGGTTATTATGATAAAAAAAATTTATAATTTAATACAAAATAGATAATTATATAATTATACATTTCTTTATTATATTATTTATAGTTTAAGATATAAAATGAGTAATAATTATGTAATGATATATTTATTAAAAATTAAAATTTATTGGAAATAAAACTAAAATTATTTTTTGTTATCTTTTCCTTTTGCGCACAAATTAATATTATTATGATATTCATCATAAACTTAATTTTTATTTGAATACAATTTTCCACTGTGACACCTACTTGTATATTTCATGTATTTCTTTTTACATTTGCACTTGTTATTATCACATGGACCCTTGCAATTACAAATAGAGTATGATAATAATCCAATACTCTGAAGTCTTGTCACCTCTTGAATGGATATCTGATTTGATGGGATCTCATCAAGTTCAGGATATATAGTAGTTCCAAGTATTTCAAGTTTACCACTATAATAACCTACATTGAGTATTTCATATTTGCATCCCAGCTGATAATATTTATCATTAATTTTTTCTATAATTTTACAAAGGAGGCTGGAGCGATCAATACTAAATCAATTAATCTTTGGAATTTTTATTCTAACTAGATCGCTAATCTTAAAATCAATTAATTTTCTTTTTTTTAATATTTGATTGGCCATCTTTTCCGTATATTGTTCAAGGTTCCATTAAGTAGTAATTCATAAGATTTCATGATGTTCTGAATCTGGTTCTTGATTTAAAAGATTAGAATCTTGATCCATAGTTTTAGAAATTGAATTAGAGCTCTGATTTGTAATATTAATAGTATTATTGTTACTTAATATTTCTAAATTTAAAGATTCTAGTTCAAATATAGATGATTCAGATGTTAATATATCAAGTTGTAAAGATTTTTCTTTATCTGATAGTGAAAGTTCTGATTCAGGTGTAATCAGCTCAGATGCAGATTTAGATGTAATAGGATATGAGGAATTTTCTTGGTTTGATAATAAATGTGAAGTTTTTAGTTTGGGTGTAGATGTAAATAGATGTAAAGATTTTTCTTGGTCTGGTGATGGATGTAAGATTTCTAGTTCAAATATAACTAATTCGGGTGTAGATGGCTCAGGTGTAAGTACAGGTGTAATTGAATGTAAAGATTTTTTTTGATATAATAATTCTGGAGGAGCTTGATCTAATAATTATCGATATAAAAAAATTAAAAAATATATAAATTATATAAATAAAAAAATAAAAAATTATAAATTGAATTAAATAAAAAAATTAAATAAATAAAAATTAAATAAAAAATAATAATAGCAGAATATTCTAAATATAAATTAAAAATTGAGAAGAATAGATAGAAGGATAGATAAATAATAATATATTTTTTCTTTTCTATATCTTTCTAAATTAATTTATTTTTTTTAATCTATAAATAAGAAATGATATGCATAAAAAATAATAATGGCAAATATTCTAAATAAAAATAATATAATTTATTTTTTTTAATCTATAAATAAGAAATGATATGTATAAAAAATAATAACAGTGAATATTCTAAATAAATATGGTATAATTTATTTTTCTTATCTTTTAATAAAAAATAATTAAATAATAATCTTACCTTTTATATATTCATCTAAATTTATAATACTGTTAACTTGAATATCTATTGTATGCAGAATTTCTTCATCATCAAAAATACCCTTTCCAAATAATTCATTAATCAAAGTACTATTTTCACGAGGCGTATTTCCGTAAACAAGTTCATAAGATATTTTTTTATATGATCGACACTATGAATTATTCATTGCTATGATAACAAATCTTAAACTAAATGACCAATTACCTTGATCAGTATTCTCTTTTCATTTATCTAATTTTGTTCTAAGATTCTATTAGCAAATTCAACAAGTTCTTGAGACTGGAGATGTTGAGACCATCTATTAATAATAGTTACTGATAACCATAATTCAATAAGTTCTTTAATAACTTGTATAACAAATTCTTTTTCATTATCTGATTGTAATATAGTTGGAAATAATCCAATCAAATGGAAAAGGTCAAATAGAAAGGATACAACTTCAATTGGTCTTTTAGAAATAAGTACCTGGGCCCAAGAGAATCGAGTAAAATGATCTCTTATATGATACACATATTTGAATTCTCCATCCAGATCAAAAGAAAAATCAATTAAATCCATTTTAAAAAAAAAAAATTAATTAACAAATTAAAAAATTTTTATAAAATAAAATTACCAATACAGGATAAAAAATTCTTTGTAATTATTAGTTTGGTTGCCAAAAGATAAAATGATGATTTCTAAGAGTACATATTATATAATTATTGACAAATTATTCTACTATACTTTACTTCACCCAGTCCCATTTCTCTCATACGGATTTACATATTTGTTTTTGTTCACCATGTTGTGTAATTTCACTATGAGTTTTACACAAAACCTCATACATGTTCTTACGAGTTAATACTGGGTTATTTGTAGCTTTTACAATTATCCTATAATTACTCAATATAATTTCTTCAGCTCTAAATCTTTTTTTAACCCAATCACAAATATTTTTATCATAAAGGGAGGCTTCTTTTTAGTTTGTTAAAATAATTTTAATTTTATTTAAAAGTTCATTATTTATTAAGGCTTTTTTTTGCTTTGATATAGGAAGACTTGATATATAACTTTCTACAACTTGGTCAAAGGCATTTCTACTAACAAAGGTATGTTCTATATTAAAGATATTGTGTAAAAGAAAAAACTAAAGAAAAGGGAATCAAAGATGATACAGAAGAAGATACCAAAGAAGATATCAAAGAGAATAAAAAAATAAAAATTTTTTTATACATTATCATCATGCGCCAGATCATATTAACATACGTGCTGATGTGCCACAGATTTTTATTTAAAGAAAATTAAATATTTTAAAATTTTTAAAGAACAATCGACAGGTTACGTACCTCACCTGATGATTTATACCTGATTTATATAATCAATGTGTCACATTACAACTGATGTATCTTAAATGAATGATCAATAGATCACACACCTTACCTGACAATTAATACCTGACATACCTCAGCTGTAATCTGATATAAGCATTAGTCTGAGGTATAATGTATACATACATCAGGAAGGACAAGTTTACTTGTCAGATAACCCGTCTCTTATGAGTTAATTCGAATCTCATCTTTTCAAATAAATATTAGAATAAGTTGTGTATTTTGTATTATATAATCCTATGTAATGTAAAAAACTTTCTCTTTTTCTAATTAATAAATTTGAGACAAGACCTTGCTGAAACTAAAAAAAAAAAATCTTAATTTTTTAACAACATACCTGAAAATTTTTGAGATCACTTTTTGTAAATACTTTTGATCTTCTCATCATGTACATTTGATTCTATTTTACATATATTTCTAATAATTTTTTATTTTTAATAAAATTTTCAACATTATTTTTATTTTCTTTATATAAGTTGTCTACTACAAATATCATTACTTTCATTAAAATTTGATATTCTATTACGGTCATTCTAGAAATTGATTGAAATCCATTAGTAAATATTTTTAACTTTCAGAATCGTGAAATTTTTAAAAGTCTATAATCTATTTCATTGACTAATAAAATAGTCCCAAGTTCAAATGATGCATTCTGTTTAGAACTGTTCAAATGATGCATTCTGTTTAGAACTGTTGCCGTATATATATTTATACTTGGTAAAGACCAAAAATAATTAGGGATATTTTCTAAACTCACATCCTGTTCAATGTTATTATAAAAGAATTCTTGCATATTTTTATTATTACAAAGGGTTACACAGTTATTAGACAAATTGGTATTTGTTAATAATGTTTTCAAAGTTAAACAAAAATAGTAAGGAAAGTTCAAATTAGTTGATTTGTATACTAGACTAAATGTGTCAGCTTCTGGTTAATCATATATAATTATTGATATACAAGAAAAGAACCAAATTGTTTGAGTACCAATTTCTAAATCAATATTATTTTTTACAAATAAAGGATCTAATAAAAATTTGATAGAATTATGGAAGATTAGTTATATTAATTTTTTGAAGTCTTTGGATTGTCTTTCAGATTGATCTTTTGCTGTTAAGATAGGAAGGTATTTATTATATCTACTAATTGGAATATTTTCAATTGAAATGTAAATAGGATATACGTGTTGCCCAAATCCCAAATCATTTGGGATTTGGGACGCCAAAATCCCAAATTACTAGTATTTGGGATTT